TCTATGATATGAAGCCCTGTACCAGTGTCACCCCTGTCTATGAGATGAAGCCCTGTACCAGTGTCACTCCTGTCTATGAGATAAAGGCTGTACCAGTGTCACCCCTATCTATGAGATGAAGCCCTGTACCAGTGTCACCCCTGTCTATGAGATGAAGCCCTGTACCAGTGTCACCCCTGTCTATGAGATGAAGCCCTGTGCCAGTGTCACCCCTGTCTATGAGATGAAGCCCTGTGCCAGTGTCATCCCTTTGAAGGCCCTATGAGTATATCAACGGTAACTTTGGGTAGGGGTAGGACCTTGTGTACTCATCCAGCAAGCCTGGGTCGGGCGTGTAGAACTTGACACAGAACTCGAGCGGTGAGTCCGGCGATGGTAGCTGTTTAAGGATAGGCTTCTCATTGTCCAGCCAGCTCTGTAACACAAAAACAGAGGAGGTAGTGAGAAAAGACAACATAAAATCACGTTTGATAGTGCAAAAAAACAGGGAGGACACCACACAAAACAAAGAACAAAACACCTGGCAAACAGAGAACTTAATACTTAGAAAAGGGAAAACTGTGAACAAAACAGAGAAAAGATCTAGAGTGAGGATAAAAACAACAGAACGGGAAAACTGTTGAGACAAATATGGATACACCTGTGATATCTACAACTAAACAAAGAAAGCGATGTCATGGTGTGAAGGTCGCAGGTGTAATGATATGATGACCTTTGAATTACAGTTCAGTTTTATCATATCTTCTTTACTTTGACATTTCACATTGGATATTTCCTTGAAGTTATTTTTCCTTGGAAACCGACCCATTGATATATATGTGTCTTGTTCATCTTAACATTAAAATTGGGATCACATTTTCAAGTTTGCATAATAAAAGAGAGGTAACCAATCGCATTATCAATATGTATTCAGCTTTTAATTGCTATACATTTAAACTTTTATCAAAGTAATGATTTAAAACAATATGGGTTGACAAATCAATTTCATGTTCAACAATATACCCAGGTAGCATATATGAAAGTAGATAAAGATGCATTATGTATTACTATGAACCTAAGCAAGTCATAATAAACATCACAAGTCTTGTGGTAAAGAATTAAAGAAAGCAAACTTGTTTTCCATTTAAGTTTCCAGTTTCATCCAACATTATGACCCATGCGTACCACCATCAGGGCCAACAAGAGTGATGACTTTGAGTTAATAAAACTTGTTTCATAATTGTTGTAAACTAAATTCAGCTGATTAAAGCAATTTTTTATGTGTGGTAACAGTGATTTGGTAATCAAAAGTTTGAAAACCTTTTTTTCAGGGAGTGACGTTGCTAAGAGTGCATGTCACACGTACAAACCAGCACACAATCAGGTAAACATCTAACTACATCATAAATATAAAGTCTGTCATTCCAAAATTACAACTTCAGTTACTAATAGAAACTTGTTTTTGTGAACAAAAAAATATGTCTCCCCTTATTAGCTAATAGACAAACTTCAGTATAAAACATTAACAAAGGGCCACATCTCTTTACATAGTGGGGCACAAGACCCAAATTTAGAATGTGACACTCCTACTTCCCAAGATACATAAGTATAGCAAGTTTGGTCAACGTAGGTGAAATAACATGCAAGTTATGCCGTGGACAAACTAAGACATAAAAAATAAACAAAGGGCCATAACTCTATATATAGAGGGGCACAAGGCCGATATTAGTGCAAGAAATTTCGCTTGGTCAATGTAGGTGAAACAATATGGAACCTATGCTTCAGACAAACTTCGGTATTAAAAATAAACAAAGGGCCATAACTCTGTATATAGTGGGGCACGAGACCTAATTCTAGTGCACTGCACACCTTCTGTGGGTGATACAGGTATACTTCAAGTTTGATCAAGATATCTTTAACAGTTTAAAATGTGTTGGCCGGACAAGAATTTACTAACAAGAGGCCCATGAGCCTTAACGGTCACCTGATATATTTATACAGAGAGTTAATTTTGTTTTTAACATGAACAGAAATATTATTCAAAGTGACAAAAAAAAAAAAAAAAAAAAAATTATTCAATTTCTAGCATACAGATTTCAGACTAAAAATATTTGAAACTAGCACCTCTGATTCTAAATAAGGACAAGAGGCCCAATGGGCCTGCATCGCTCACCTGGTATAAAACTCACACTTGTAACCTTAAAAGTGATCTAAAATAAAGCTACAGAAAAAATATCAGTATTTATGATTAAAATTCGTTCAAAAGACCCTGTTAATTTTTTTTAAAACATTTCACCCCTGTGAATGAAAGTCGAACAAAGTCATTATGTTGAACACATTGTATAGCCTTTCATCTCAGGATGCAACTTGCAAAGTATAAACATCCTGGGACCCATGGTTATTCATAAGAGGTTGTTTAAAGATTTTAAACAAATTTGACCCCTGTGACCTTGAATATAAGTCAAAGTCATTCACTTTAACAAACATAGTAGTCCTTGATCCCAGCATATGCTACTAACTAAATATCAACATCCTGAGCCTTTTGG